AGTGGAGGAAGCATTCAACAATCCCTTGTTTGCCAAATTGCACTATCGCTTCAAGCAGGAGGAAGAGATTGTTCGTGTCATGCACCTTGTGTCTGAACTTGTTTGTGACTTTTTCATCAAGGTGCTTCCCAAGTGGGTTCTTGACCACTCGATCTTGTGGGAAGAGTTTATGATTTCGGATCCAGACACAAATCTCCCAGCCTACAAGACTTCAGAGGCCGCCTTACAGGCAGAAGTGAATCCAGAGAAGTATCATACACATTTTGCTATGAACTTCAAGAAATTCAGGTTTTCTGCAAGAGTGGTGTGGTATTTGATTGACCGTGACAGGAATCATTTAGAGAGTTTTCTTCACAACTCTAACAGCAGATTTGTGCAACATGCATGCTATCAACTTCGTGAATATGTTCAAGCGCGTGTTGCAGTTTCTGATCCCTTGTATGAGATGATCAAGAAGGAAGAGTTTGAACGCCAATACAATTCCAAGTTTTTGGAGGCGATTTCTTGCTCTCGTGTTGTAGTTGAGCCTGTAAGTTCAGGGACGTATGAGCCATCATCGAAGCTGAACTTAAAGGTACTACAAAACATTCTGAAGGGTGTCTACAAGATCCAGAAGAATGAGGAGCTTGCCAGAGAACGTGAGGAAGAAGAAGAACAGGCAGCTCAAAACATCTCAAACTTGTTAGCAGATGATATGGAGCTTGATTTTGATGATGACGACGTACCAGTATGGCGCTCCATTGTCAACAAGTATAGAGAAGGTGATCAGGTGCTACAGAGAGAAGCAGTGAAGATTACTCATTTTTTCAAGGACAAAAAGGACAATGAGAAGGCAACAGAAGTTTTCAGTTCAGAGAGGACAGATTTTCATGAGACCTCAGAACCTCTTCCAAGGACCGAGGGAGAAAATCTTGTAGAGGACTTGCTCACCAGGAATGTCGCAGAACAAGCTTTTGAGGCAGGTGAAGAAGTTCCTCCTCACACAAGAGTCTCCACTATCGCTGGTGAAATCTACACTGGTAGTCTGATGTTGACAAAAGATGAAGATATGGAAGAGGAAGTCCCTGAAGAAGATCCTGCAGTTGAAACTGAGAAAGATGAAGAAATGTTTGATGAGAATGCAGGTACTTTTCCTTCAGAGGGACCAAAGATGGAAGTTGACCAGGAGGAAACCAAGGAGGAGTCAACGCCACACTTTCTGTCAAGAGAGATAGGTGAGGACTCCGCTGCATCGTACTTACCATCAGGTGAGAAGGATGCGAACCTTGAGGATACTTCAGGTCAGCGGAAATCTAAGAAAAGCCGCCTGAATAAGATTCCTGATCCTCATTTTCATGAAGAAGTTCAGGATGATGCAACTCTTGAGGAGAAGAAGAAGGCGGTGAAGAAGATAAGAGAGGTCAGAGAGGATGATGGAGAGAAGAAATTGGAGGCCGAAATCCAAGAGTCTTTTCCATCTGAAGTAGTTGTTGATAAAGATCCTGTGGATGCTAACAATACCTATGAGTTGCATACCTCACCTTTGAGGTTGCTTGGAGAGCTTACAGGAGACCCAGGTATTGGCTTTTATCAACTATGCTTCAGGGAAACTCACGCAAGATTGCTGAACCATGTTTGTTTCAGAAAAGGTGAGATTTCCCATCCTCATTATCAGTCGAGGATCAACGAGGATGATTTTGTTCGATCCATTCGAAATGTCTGTCCAGTACCTCCACCTGATTGTTATGAACACGATTCAGAGCATGATTTGAAGAGGTTTTTCATCAATGATGATCGCATCAGTTATTTGGATGGCAAGTATCAGGTCGATCCAAAGGCCTTTGAAAAGGCAGAGCATGCTCGAGAAGAATTGGAGGATACGAAGAAGGAACGTAAGAAGGAACTGGAATCATATGGTCCCAAGGGACCCAGTTGGGACTTTGTCACCTTCTATGAAGAGCTGTGCAGAAAGTTCCTCAAGGGAAGAATAGAAGAACCATATGGAACTAACTTATTGGCCAGCTCAGAGTCCTTGACATTTTTATCCTGGAACTATGGCAACATGGTTCGCGGTCAGAAGTACACCACACCAAGGTTTCTCCAAGGACTTGATAGTGCCATGAGGCCACGCAAACAGAGCGCCATGTCACTTCAATACGAGCAATTTGAGAACAACCTTTTCTTCAATATGCTCTTCTTTTTGCGTGCACATGTCGTGATTCTCCAGGAAGCTCATCTTCTTGTTCCTGCCAAGGAATTTATTGAGCAAAAGAATTGGACAGTTTGTTTCAATGATTGGGAGAATCTTGTAGTGATGGCTAGATTGGCACCAGGTGGATATGTCAAGATCATTGCTGGACATGACCAAGACCTTGGTCACTGTGAACAGCGTGATGTAACTTGGGCTATCTACGAGATTTGTTTTGGAAAGACAAGGCCTCGTCAAGAATTCAAGGATGCAGACTTTGAATTTGATGACTATGGTCCTGAGGACAAGCGTGTTCCACTTACTCGAGCGAACATGCATACCATCAGAGTCTGTAATTATCATGTTGACACACACCGTGCTGTGGATGCCCACCTACTGACAGGAGAACAGACAGCATTGATGCTTTATGAGTGTTTTGTCTATGAGGTGGACATCATTTCTGGTGATGCAAATAGTTTGGCCTACAGAATGTCTGGGTACAAAAGGCAGCCAATGGCTAACTACTATTACAGCACCATGCAGCGTTGGATCCGCAGGTTTTCAGAAGCCCGTGTAAAAGCAGATCCTGGTATCAAAGCACCTATTCCCAGAACATTTTACAGTTCATCTTCACAAGTCCTCAAGCAGTGTGAAGATTACTTTGTGAAACTCTGGGAAGAATACTCTACAGAAGAGAAAGAAGAGTACCAGGGATCAAAGCTTGGAGATACATGTTTGTCTACCATTGTTGAATGGGGTCATTCAATGAGTGAAGAGTGAAAATTCCACAGTGAGCACGAAGGAGTTCATCTGTAATTTTTCAGAGAACTTTGCTATGATTGACACAGAGGTTATGTGCTCAAGGCCCACTGACGAGGACAGTCATGGTCCAATGTTTATTTCACTCAGACCAGCTTCCTCTTCATCTGGAGACAGAAGACAGTATCGCATAGGAGCAACTCTTCATGAGGCAAAACTGCGGAGGAAGGAGAAACAGAAAGAGAATAAAAGGAAAGGAAGGCCGCCAACTTCTGATCAAGCAGCTTCATCGACTGCAGCGGCATGAAACTCAGAGCGGAAGCTAACTTTTAATGATGGCTAAGAAGTGAGGACACTTCTGATTACAGTTGATACCTTGCTTCCAGGCTTGACTTTAAGTTGCCAGGCTGAAGTTTTAATAAATTCTGGTTTGCAACGAGGAGAAACTTTTTATCAAAGAAGATACTCCGGCATTCCAGGTTTATACGCTTTAGCATGCAGATAGGTATGGACAGTTTTGCATAACTGATGATATCTATCACAGCCGCTTTTTCTGAGGTGACCTCTAATGGACAACCATTCATGGTTGATGATTAAGTCATTTCATAAGTTTGCATTTGTAGCGCAAGTTTTGTACATACATTTGCCGGTGTCTCCTTCCTTGTGTTTTTGATGCCAATGAGAAAGAGTCCTTTTGATGCAGTTCCATTTTTATTTAAGTTCTGTGTATGGAAGCGGCCGAGACCACTTTTCGAGAAGAACATTCCTCGGACCGAGAGTTGACGCTCCTTGCATTTTGCAAGGCATCCTAATTCATTGCAATTTGTGCAGTCTTGAATTTTTAGTTCTTCGTTACGCGAGTGTCGTTTGATTCTTTTATAGGTCTCTGTAGAGAAAAAGCCGCTTTCCCTTTTTAGTTTGATTTAGCTCAGGCCATAAAGAGCTAGTGAGCGCCGGTACATGGTATCTCCGCCTGTGAAAAAATACAGTCTCCAGCCGAGGTACATTATCGTTTTGATTTTGTACTTGAGGTGAGTCAGCTATTGCTCCCTCACTGTATTTAGTAGCTTTGAGATTACCTTCTCTATAGTGTGAAACACACTGGATTAGGTAAGTACATGGCACCGTAGTTTTCTTTTAAGTTGCTAGAGCTAGCTGGACTGTTTTAGCCTTGCAGTAGAAAAAGAGTGTGCGACATACGCAATCAGCTAGGAGTGGACATGAATCTTGTGCCTGCTGAAAAGTAGAGCCTACCTGTACAGGGTTCCACTCCAACAGCCGATATAGTGTGTCCATACTTGACTGCTTCAAGGCTCAAAGAGCAAGAGGATAAGACTCTGCGCATAAAAGACACTAGCGGTCTGCACCTCTACCGTGTACGCCCTAGTCACTCTTTCACCCCCCCCCTCCCCCCCTCTAAAATCAATTCTCTCCTGGAGAACGTCTTCGTGAGCCTCTCATGATTTCAGGATAGTTGAAACCCTCTTGAACATTTAGAAAGAGTGAATATGAAATTCTAATCACGAAAGGTGTTCCCCGAGGGGATACGTTTTGTGAAGCACGTCAATTCTCTCCTGGGGAGCGTCTTCGTGAGCCTCTTATGGTTTCAGGATAGTTCAAATCCTATGATGTTCCGATTCAATGCTCACCGATGATCTGAGCCATGGGGCAAGTTTGTTTTCCTAAGAATCTTTTTGAACATTTCGAGAGCACATGTTTGAACATTTAAAGTGCATATGAACATATATTTACGAAAGGTCGCCTCCGAGGGGATAAATCACCATGTCGAACATTGCATTTTTGTTCCTGCCTCTCGCGTTCTCTTCTCTTCCCGCTGTCCTACCTTTCGTGTCTCCCTCCTCTCAAGTTAGGCCAATGTAAGGGCAGACCTTCCCCTGAGTGTGCCCAAATCCAGCACGTTCAAGTTCCAAGCAGCGCAGAGAGCGACAAGGCTCCCCCCCACACAGCCTCGCCGGAACCTGACGCTTCTCCAGTGGTTCGATCACCAGACACAGGAGACCCTAATGCTTCGATCACGACAGCACAGAGCCGACACATCCGACCAGTCGGTGCCATGGGACTTGCAGAGCTCTGGTTGGCAGGCGAGGATGACGTTGAGTTGCCGGTTTTGCGGAGGAATCACACCAATGGATTCTCTGGAATGGAAGGAACGTTCAGTTGCACTGATCAGGCTTTTGCAAAACTGGTGATTTTTACATGAGCCAACATGGAGCCCCACTTGAGAAGGGGTTTGGCCTTTTTCATTTTCTTGTGCGAGGCGGTACATTGTTCAGGCCATCTACACTGCCGAAGGTTTCCTTCCAGAATCTTGAAGGACTGTGGCGACAACTGGCTTCGCTAGATGTCTCATGCGCAGGGTGGTTTGGGGTTTGGCGTAGAGTCGCTAGCAACAGCACTAGCAGAGTTGCACTCCTGGCATGTGTTTTTTGTGGCATCCCCACCACGGAGATGCTCAGATACTCTCTCCGTTGCTTTCCGTCTGCCATTCCTGTGAGCCTGGACATGAGGAGACTATCATGTTAGCCAAAATGGTTACTGGGACCAGAATGGCCAGTGGATTGCTGAGGTGCCTCGTTTTGGAATTTTGGGAGAGACAAGCGCACGTAGAGTTGAGGACCATTCTTTTGAAACGGATGTCGAGCTGTTTCATGTCTGTATTCATGCCATCCCTAGGGCAGATGGGCAGATGGAGGGTTAATGAGGATCACGAGTTTTATGGCCGCTTGCCATTTGGTTTTGGCCTTGCAAGGCTGAGAGAGAAGCGCAGGCAAGAGGGCTGCTGAAGGGACCGCAGATGCCGGCTCTTATGACTCAGCATGGCTCCGCATGGCTGGGTGATCTTGATAGTATGTGGATGGATATGCACCTTGCTTTTTCTCTCATCTGGGAAAAGTAGAACCAATTGAACCAAGAGCAGTTAGTTGACCCCTGACCCTGCTTGTACACAGATGAATTTATTGGATTCTTGGATCTTGAGACTCTTTGAGGCTGATGCAGTGAGTGAGGCTGAGAACACCCGCCATGCCCGGGCTTCCCAGCTTCTCACTTAGACCGTGGGGTAACAGGTTGGAAACGATTGCCATTAGGTTGGAGGCCATCGCTTCTAGGTTGGTGGCCATCGCAATGAGTATCTAACTAAAAGGAATATCTATTTGTTTCATTTGGTTTAATGAGTTTGGAGGCCATTGCTATTAGGTTGGAATCCGATGGATGTGGCTCCAAAGGTGGATCAGATCCACTTGCTTTCTGTTCTTTCGTCGCCTGAGTAAAGCTTCAGAACCCCGACGGCTGCAATTCTTCTGGAGCCATAGAGCAGAATACCGTTTGACACTTTGAGGTTCCTTTAAGACTTTTACTTCCCCCTCAAAAGGGTACTCAACTTGGATTTGCTGAAGATAGGTCAAGAACTACCAAAGCTGATGCCTGATGCCTGGCATTACGACAAACTGCAAATCTAGAAGATTTTGGATAGTGTTGGGTTGGAGAGCGGATGCTTTGCCAAGCTCCATTCCTGGGTGTGAAAGCACCAGGAGATGGCTTTGGAGGATCCCGCCTCGGTGGTGGAGATTGCCAGCAAGAAGGCTGGATTCCGAGAAGCAGAAGTTGAATCGCACAAGGACCCCAGGCAATGAGAGATGAGAAGGTTTCTAGCTTGAGATTTTCTCCACATACAACATACAGACTTTCAGAACCCATGTAGTCAAGGACTTCGAAACGTGCTTGGACTGCAAATCGGCCCATCTTGCAGGCCGGGAAGGCCATCCAGCGTGCAGAAAGCAATGCGGCGGATGCCCAGGCCACACAATCTGTGGAGACCTCCTGCGCTCGGCCTGTCGCGTTCGTCCCCTGTACCACTGAGGTCTTGCACATGAGACTGCGCAGCCAAAAAGCCGCTGATTTGGTCGGGAATGTGAAGCATGCATTGACCGACTTGATGAGAAGACGGAACACGTTGAAGCTCAAGAGAGAGCTCTCCAAGATGGACCACTACTGGCAAGTGCTGAAGGAGTGCGACTCGGAGAAAACTCCTGATTGTCACCAGATGGTTCGAAAGGCTCTGCAAGGAATTGCGCATGATGCAACAGAGGCTGCCAAGGCTGCTGAGGACTTGACAGCCCTTGGTCATGTGGTGAAGCGCCGAACTTATCCCATTCTGGACCTGCTTCGCATGGGAATTGGCCCTGCACCAGACCAGCTAGATGCCTTGGATGCTCCGAATCCACCCGATTTCGTGCCAGCCCCAGGCCCAGTTCCTGGCACTGCCGGTGGTTGTGATTGTGCTCCACACTCCCACTGTGCAGGCCGAGGAAGAGAGTTCCCCTGGTGCAAAGTCAACCGGACAGAGCCCTGTGCCTTGCTGTCTCAGCCATCCTTTGTGGATGCCTCGGGAGCCGATCACCGTGTGGCCGGATCTGGGCAGCCTCCCGCGGTGTGGGACTATTGTGCTCCGGTCTCCGAGAACTCGGAGACGGTGCATGCGGGGGGGCCATTGCGAGAGGCGCGACGACATCGTGACAAAGTATCATGATGATCCGGACTTTTGGAGCAAAGATGGACGTTTCAATTGGAACCAAGTGCCGCGGAAGGATCGCATGACCTTGGAGGCCATGACGGCTCCCAAAGAGGGCCATGGCCTTTGCGTTCGAACGCCTTCCAGTGGTGCTCACTTCGTGTGCCCAACAGCACAAGACGATTTGGACGAAGCCAATCCGGAGGGGACGGAATGGGCGCGAACTCGGACCTGGGACTTTTGTGTAGGGGCCCTGGAGGGAGATGAAAGTAAGCAACTTGCAGGGTAGAAGCAAGCAACTTGGAGATGACTTGGGGTGATTGCTTTCCGAGGTTCCGGCAGCTCCAGCTGACAAGATACAAGCTTTGCAAGAACTCCAGCATGAAGAGGAGGCAGAGCTGGTGAAGCAATCTGCAATTCCGAGGAGGAACATGACAGATTTCTCTACTTTGATCTAGGAATGGTTTCAGTGAGCAACTCTGCTTGCCTTCGATACAGGCCAACAGCCCGGGAGTTCAGATGCAGGCCAGAGCACGGGAAGAAGCGGCTTGCGGGGAGAGGAACTTTTTTGTCAAGGCAATTCTTATTCGTCCCTTGCTATCGCGGAGTCTTGTGCTGGAAAGGCCGAGCACTTCCGGAAGCCCTTCGAGAAGGCACTTGACTTGGGTGGAGGGATATGATGCTCTGGGTGTATCCGAACGACATGGTTGCAGCCTGGAGTCAGGAAACCATTGACCAGGCTGCGACCAGGGTCTCAACGGGCTAAGGGAACTGACCTTGATTGGGTTCAGACTGATGTGCCGGCCCTTTCTACTTTATGGCACATGCCACATGATTGATGAACATTTGCTTGACCAGGACCCAGCAGCCGAAAACAAGGACCGGGCAATTGCAAGTCGTGGAGAGTTCTTTGAGAGAAGAATCGAAGGAAGGACTCATGGGGCTTCACCATGTTTCATCTGTTGCCAGCGGACATTCACAAGATTCGCTCAAAGCCGTCCAACAAGTCAGAACAGACAACACAGAGCAAGGCAAGGGTTCTTCATGATTCATAGACTTATTCCACCATGCAATTTTGTTTCTTGAGAGCTGGGAAGGGAAAATCAAGTCGCTGTAGGCCGCTCAGTGGCAGGACTTGGCGCTACAGCACGAAGGTGACCATGGTCAAAACGGCTATGGTCGCTACGGTGGCTATGCTCCCATGCAGCAAGGTGTCTGAAACAGCGAACAGATTCTTTTGCCCTGCATGAAGAATTCTTGCAAACAATGCGGCTGTCCACAGGTTTGGATCCCATTTCTTTGGTATTTCTGGAGGCCTGCGATTGTTATTTCATAATTTTTGACAATATTTTCTTCAATCTCAATTTGGATATATTTGCAGGCTTCGCTCCATTCAAAGAAACAATTCCATCGAACATACGAAACATTTCTTTAGAAATATATATATATAATATATATAATACATTCTAAAAAATTGAATTATTCAAAATTTTTAAAAATATATTACCTATATAAAATTAAAAATTATGCAATTAAATTTTGAAATTTTATTTTATAATCGTTTTGGACGATTATCTGAATTTATTATAGATTTATAATTCGTTATGGACGATAAATTTTTTTAATGATTTTTTAATGATATATTTATTTTATAGATAATTATTAATTAATGGATTAGATTTAATATAAGAATTAAATATATTTATTTTCATGTGAGTTGAATCGCTTTGTTTTTTTGAGCTAAATGTGAATAGCGTTGTAGTTGTTATTGGTTTCTTTTTGTGGAACATTTAGGGAGGTGTTTTTTTTTTTTTATTCTTATTCCTCCTACGGCGCTTTGTCGTATCTCGACTTAATGGTCTGTTAGATTTAGCGTCTAAGCTACCGTTATTCGCAGGTAATCCAGTGCTTTTAGATCCTCTGGAGTCGATCGATGCTCCGGGTGAAATTTCTGGACCCGAAGGTTATGCCGACGTGTTATTTAGGTTGCTGATGGCAGGCATAGGTAGTCTTATGCATCCGCACGAGGAATTGGTCGGAACTTCGTCGCCTCCTTAATTGGGTCTAGCACACTGATGGCTGCAAGGTCAACTGATTTTCTTCCGTACCATACGGAGGGATTAGCCGTGAAGTTTGGAGCCAATGTGGCCGCTCCCAAGGGTTTTCGTAGCCCCGGTGTGGATCTTTTCTAGGTTTAACAGGTGGGCGAGGCATTGCCATGTGCTTCGGTGTTTGAACTTACGGTGGTGCTTCATCCGGCTAAGCAGATGCCAAAGACCTTGGACACGATGAAGAATCCCTATAACCCTTTGAAGCAATCATACTTTTTGAAGAAGTCCCTATTGTCGCGGCACCTCGTGTAGCAACCTTTCCCCCGCTCTCTTCAACGATGCAGGCTCGGGTGCAATTGGACTCTGGAGAATCGGTGAATATTGAAGTGAACCCCCTCGAACCGTGCTAATCTGAGAATGAAGCCGAGGAAGACAATATGGCCACCTCGTCAGAAGAGAGTCAAACTGTCGGTGGTAAGGTGACCGATAATTCGCTGGATTATCAAGCCAAAAAGGCATGGATCCAGAATGCAGGATTTCGATAGCTTGGTGAGCTCTATACCGCAGAGGGCAGATCCAGCCTAAGGGCCAAACAACAGCGACTCGAAGAGCGCTGGTGGAGCGAGCAGGGAAAGGGATCCGCTGGAAACAATTCACGGACATATCAGAGTATGGAGATTCATTATCCGTTCCTTGACTCAGCAAATCTCGGCTTTTGAAAGATGGACAAATGGGCGCGGATCTAAGCCCTTACATCCAAGGAGGAGTGCAAAGGTTGAGCGACTCCGCCCCTGCGCAAGGATGGCACACACACCTGTTGTGTACCGAAGGCCCTTTTCTGAGCGGTTCAAAAGGTCCTCATAATAATTAATATATAATATATTTTTATCTATATATAATTTATTTATTTATTGTTTATATTTAAAAAATGAATATATATATATATATTCGATTAAATATAATAATTTATGGAATTAATTGAAATAATAATGATATATTTATTGAATTGATTATTATATATTTTTGTTTGCTTTAGTAATTTATTGATTTATTGATTTAATTTCTTGTATTTTTTGATTAGAAATTATAATTATATTTTTCTATATAATATTGAATGGAATATGGATTTTGGGGATATGGTTTAAGGATAGGATTTAATATAAATATATTAATTAAATTTTCGATATTTTTTAAATATGCATATTTTATAAAAATACATTTCGATTTTGTATTCGATATAATTGCTATTAGACGTTTAGATACAAGAATATTCGTCTTTCAACAAAAAATAATATAAATGTACATTTCGTCTTTCAACAAAAGATAATATAAATGTACATTGATATTGATGAAGATCTTGAGGGTTGATATGATATATTTAATGTTATTTCTATTTATGGAGAATTATTAATGTATAGATTTCGGATGGGATTTTTGGGTTCCTTCCTAATAATATCCTTGGATTTAATTCGGATTTTCTTAGGAATCGGAATTAATATTAAATATTCTATTTGAAAACAATAATTACATATCATGTTTAAATTAAATAATATATTTTAAAATACTAATCTAATATAAAAAAATCCAAGGATTTTAAAATTAATTTATAAGGTATTATTCTTTCCAAAATTATTCCGTTATATTCGTATAAACCTTCCTTACCTCATTTTCCAATCCCGCATCGTTTTTGGTGGGTAATTTCATTCTCCATTCCTATATTTCGTTTTAATGTATAAATATCCATTTCGGTCTCGAAAGATGTTCCTACCTCATTTCCCAAATTAAATATATCATTAATCAAATCATTTCAAACACATAATGCATTTAATACCCATTTCGTTCTCGGGGTGTTCATACCTCATTTCGCCAACTAAATCTAATATTAAATAAAAATATAAAAAATATACCCAAACTAATCTTCATAATGGCAAATAAAACCGTTATTCACATAATATCCAATCCTCATAAAATAACTACAACTAGATTAATTTTTCAAATAATGCTTTATTACCATATTTCTAATTTAAATCGTCAATTATAATATATTACAATAATATAAATTAAAATTCAATAGATAAAAACAATTAACTATAAATTCGATTTATAATTTTTAATTTAAATAAATATATATCCCTAATATATATACAACGAAAATTTAATCGAATTTATTAATATAAAATATATTATCAAAATTATATTACCAAATTAAACTTAATAATACAAGATTAAATTATTCAATATATATTATCATTTAATATAAAATCCTTGTGCAAAATTAAAATAATTATTAAAAATAAATAGAATATTATCGAATTCTTCACCAATAATTAATATGAAACCTGCATTGTTCCAATCATTTAGCCAATTACGATACCTGGGTCCCCGCTAAGGACACGAAATTACTAATACAAAACCTGCTTTATTGCAATATTTTTGCAAAAAAAAACCTCCCGGAAAATAAATATAAAAACAAAATATTACAGTACATCTCTTATACTCTTGATAATTACCCCATTATAATGCTTTCGCACATGGCGGATGTCCAACAATTAAATGATTTGTGTCACGCAAATATAGAAATTTACGATTCAAGGGTTAGATAAAATCCCGAAATCGATCAATAAAAAAATGCAACAAATTAAATAAAAAGAATTTCAAATAGTGTATTCGCAAGAAAACAAAAAGACAAAATCGCTACAAACCGCAACATAAAAATCTTTCATTATATTTAATTATATCGAAATCTTTGGAAATAAAAATATCATATCGTTATAATAATAAATATATATATATATATATTATCAAACAAATAAAAATTTTCGTTTCTTTATTTATTTCTAAATGGGATTGAATTGTAATATGGTAAATTTGGTTGGTTTAGAGGTTTAGAAATTTTTGCCCCGGGGAGTTCACCTTAACATAATGATTTCGTGGCAGGCGCGAGCGTCGGAGAGATTTCGTGGCGCGGGGCGGTTGGATCCAAAGGTGGGTAGATCGTGCTTGCTGGCTTGCTTGCTTCCTTGTTTGGTTTCTTTTTTGCCATCCATCACAGCTCTTTCTCTGCCATGCTTCCCGCGTAATTGACTTTGTAAAATGTCGACCACGCTGCAACCTGCTTGAAACCAACACAGTTCCAATGGATTTTGCCAGCTACGACAGCTGTTTCTCTGCTAACTGCACTAAGCTGATGTAATAGGTAGGAATACACAAAAGAAATAGATCGACAAAGCAAACAAAAGGAAAGCAAAAAAAACAAGAAAAAGGAGAACAGCTGCCAAAGCAGAAACGCAACAAAAGCAGTAGAAGCAGAAAGCAGCAAAAGCAGAAAAGCAATAAAAGCAGCAAAAGCAGAACCGAAAACAAGTCAAAAACATGAAAAACACACAATTACACCAGCATAGACCCCA